TGCTGCGGAGGGCGGCCGAGGCCACCGGGCCCACCTGGGTCAAGCTGGGCCAGTGGGCCAGCACCCGGAGGGACCTATTCTCCCAGGCCTTTTGCGACGAGTTTTCCAAGCTGCACGTCGAGGTGAGCCCACACCCGTGGGGCCACACCGACCAGCTCCTGAGGAAGGCCTTCGGCGAGGACTGGACAGGCATCCTCAAGTTCCAGAGCTGGGAGCCGGCTGGCTCGGGCTGTGTCGCCCGGGTGTATAAAGCCTACGCTGACCTGACGGCTATCACCGGCTCCCTGGCCGAGGAGCTGGCACCACGCTTGGAGCTGCGCTCCACTTTCAAAGCGTGGGAAATGTCGGGTTATAGAGGCCTCCTCGGGTGGCTGAGGAGGAGAAAGAGCGAGCAGATGCGGGACGAGAGGAGCAGAGAGGAGCCGAGCCCAGCAGATAGCCCCCAGAGAAGTGCTGGGAGTGGGACTTTCCTTAGGGAGCAGGCGGCCAAACTGCTCGTGAGTGCACATCCTTCATCAGCCAGACATCTCACGCCTGTAGCCATTAAAGTAAGTCGTACAGCTGGCTGGTAGACTTGTGAAAATACAGCATGCTACACAACGCCAAGCAGATTTTAATCCCTGTAGAGATGAGCGGCTGGCTAGGGCCAGGCAGGGTGAGCAAAGTGATGCTCGTCTCCCTCAGTGACTTTTCTTAGCGCTGTGGCTCCGGCCAGCTGCAATCCAGACTTGCGGTGGTCCCAGCTCTTCCAGCCCAGAGAACTCGAGTATGCGTACAGCGTATGGTGCCGTCAACGTGACGTGTGGATACCAGAAATGGCTGCAGGGCCCAGTTTATACTGAAAGAATGAATATTAAGCTTGGTTCCACCGTCCAGAAAATGAATCCCCTTCTCTGCTCACATAAAGAAATCTGGAACAGATACGTTCTTTCCAGCAAAGTTTATTTAAAGAGATCTTATATTCGAGCTGCTCCAAATACTAGTCAGTACTGCCTGGTGGGGAGAGGGAGTGTGAAAGTAACGGAAAATGGCATTGGGTGACCCTGTAGTCACCAGCACAGATATATTCCATTGACAATTATAGAAGGTTTCTTTACAACTTAATCCATGGCAAAATGTGAATTCTTTTGAGCACTAGCTGCAGAAGCCTTGTTTGCTCCCAGTTGTACGGGCTGGGTTCTGTCTATTCGGAACGCATCGCTTCAGCGCTGATTGAAATGGGGTGTCTGGGGAGCTGGTCTTGCCACCGTTCATTCTTGCACAGGTCCTGCACCCTGGGCTAGTCCACCAAGTCCAGATGGATCTGTTCCTCATGAAGATGGATAGCCACATCATTGGACTTCTCCCCGGATTCAAGTGGCTCAGTTTGACAGAGGTCATGGAGGAGTTTGAGAAGCTTATGATTCAGCAGGTGGATGCCATGCCATGGTCGCCGCATACTGAAACAGAACTGCTTTTTGTCTTGCTAGTGGCTGGCTCTAACTCTGCTCATAGTGCTGCTTTTTAAGGGGCTAGATGAAGGCTTGCTTGTTAGTTATGTTCTTTCTTGTAATCAGTCATGTAATGTTACTGCAGGAAAGCTTACGTGCTCACAGAGTAAAAAAGCAAAGCAATGAAAAAAATTTCACAGTCTTTATGAGATTTTAAAATCTTTTTGAAGACTTTGTTTTCTAGTGAACAGCCTGAACAACTAGCTAGCCGTAGTCATGGTCTTTTTTTCAGCATTAGGAAAGAAAGATGAACACCGGGGAGACGCCTCTCCTCAGGAGAAGAATCTCTCCAAACAAGTGCTCAGATGTGTGTTTTTTCTCTTTCATCCTAAATGTATGTTTGCAATCGGTACTCACTGGTCATCTTTATTAGCACTGAGGGGTATATATATTGGCATAACTAATATACTTTTACACAAGTTAGTAGTACATTCTATGTTGTATCATCATCATACTCACAGTATTGGTAAGGTCAAGCTTTGCAAATAGATCTGAAAACATGTCCTGATTCACTAATGACTTACAGAGACACAGTACTGAAGAGTCCTTATTCCCAAACTTACATACTTACACTACAGGCTTAATTAGGCGTGTGTTTCCACTAAAATGAACCATTATCTGCTAATTTCATTTTTGTGTCTAGATTGCAGAGTCTGAAGTCTGTTATTAGCTTTTGAAAGCCTTCATTCTTTTCTACTATCACAAAACAATCTACACAGCAAATCCATGTTGTAAACTGTTGACTGTATTCAGATGTGGCTCAAGGTCATTAGTGCCAGTTTAGTTGAGCAGAGCTGCTTCTGGGTGCTCTGAAGACTGAGGGTTAGGAGAGCATCTGATAGGCCTATTGTAATTTCATTTCTCTTTGAAAGAACAAGAAATGTTCCTGGGTTATTTCCCACTGCCATATGAGGGAGGTGAGGCAAGGTCATCCTGCCTCCTTGAACAGCAGTAGCAGTGGGCAGGAGAGATGCCCTTGTGTCAAGGCACTGGGTCACTGAAGAGCTGGGGCTGGGGCTTTGTGTAGTGGGTTATTTTGTATGTGTTACATTAAATTTATTCCTACTATGGCTGCCTAACTGTGAAGTGAGGCTAGGGCTGCAGTTCTTCTACCCTGTCTGTCTGCCTTGCTATTTGGATGGTGAGCTTTGGTTCAGGATCGGTCTCGCCCTTGAAAATAGTGCAGTCCTGGTCTTTTCTGAGGCACCGTGCCGATAGTAAGATCAACCTGTATTTCAAAGATGTGGTGTTGTGGGCCATTTGTTAATTCTGCTCTTCCATCAGGAAAGCTATAAGCATGTAAAAAGCACTACTCTCTGTTTTGTTTTCTTTCTGGCTTTCTGGCCAGTTCTGTTGGTATTGAGTATTGCACTGTACAGTCATGTCCTCATATAGGATCCTCAAGATCTAATTGCATCTAACTTCCAACCTGCTTTTTCTTTTTCTCCCTTGAGATTGACTTGCTCTACGAAGCCAGAAATCTGGAGCGCTTCCGACAAAATTTCCTCGATATCGATTTTGTGAGGTTCCCAACTCCCCTTTGCCCTTTGGTAACGACAGATGTTCTGGTGGAAACATTTGAGGTAAGAATTGCAGGCTCTGAGAGCTCTGGTGGCAGTGAGAAGGCCCTCAGGAGAACGTGTCAAGGAGGTGTTTTTTGAGAAGAAGCAATCAGAGGCCAAAGGATGCTTTTCTCTATTTGCTTAAAGAGATTGGTGTCCTTCCTCAGCATCTCTTCCACTCTCTTTGTCTGTAAACAGTGCATCCGAGAAGACAGGTGGCAGACAGCTCCATATGGAAGTGAACACTTGGCCTGAAACCAAGCAGACCACCAGTGTGTCCAGCCACCATGAGCTTGCCTGTGCTTTGCAAACCAACACAATGCTTCAGCTCTCCTCTGTGGTGGGTCAAAGCAAGGAGCTCAGCAATCTGACGCTTTCTGATGCTTGCCTCACTTCCCTTGTGGATGTTTGAGTCACAGACCAAAGCTACTCTCAGCCCTAGCTTTTGTGCATGTGATCCTGGCAAGAGTTCTGCCCCAGGCTATGTCACGCCGTTTTTCCAATGGACACGTTCTTGCTTCTCTCATGTTCTCCATCACATTAGGTGCAGCCTCTATCGAGCAGGTAATTTCTAGGGTATTGTTATCGCCTTCCCTCAGCTCTGGCCACCTAGGTAAAGGTGTGGTTGAAGGTGGGACACGGGGTGTGTTTGACTCCAGCTCTGTCTTTATTTCAGGAGAGTGAGCCTATTTCGCACTACCTGCATGCGGAGATTGCCACAGAGCTGAGGCAGAGACTTGCCAAGATGGGCATGGACATGCTGCTAAAGATGGTAGGCGCTTGGCTGAGGCTGGGAGGGAAGGTGCTTTTCCTGGTGAAGCTCCTCACTTGGGGTTAGAAGGCAAATATGGCTAAAGAGAGAATCCCCACTTGCCTCCCACGCCTCCTACCCTTCTCCCCATGGACTCAAAGACAGAGCTGTGCCAGTTGGAGCCAGCCTGTGGATGCCAGGTATCTCGTGGTAACCCAGGACTTGGGCTGCTAGGGCACTGTGCAGTGCCTGAGCTGGCAGAGGGAGGGTCTGTACTTCACGTGCAATGTAACACTAAAGCCTGGGCTGGATACACCACTACTGTAGACTTTGACTCAGAGCTTCTTCCACTGCAGAAGGGCAATCTGCTTGCACACAGCAGGGTCCTCCTGATCAGTACATTGCTTAGGAAACCCACTAATCCATTTAACAAATATTTATGTACTGCCCAAAAGCTATAAAGCACAGCGTAATTAGTGAATACCATGCTCTCTGCAGAGACTATGGATGTGACTGACAGGGAACACAGCTAGCAACTTTGTCATTTATTGACCCCTCCTCCAAAACTACCTTTTTGTAAGGAAGAACTAAATGTGGAGTAGAGAAAACAAACCTGGCCAGATTCAGCTTCTGGCTGGCTAGTTCTTTTGTGGTTGAAATAATCTCAAATGATCTGGAAAGGAGCGTTGAAAGGCGACACAGGTGGCTCCTGAGGAGCCAGGAGAACTAGCAGGGAAGAGTTGCAAAAGAACCTCACAGTACTGAGTGCGTGGGCAGTAAGTGTCAGATGAAATTCAGCTGGTAACTGCAACGTCATGCTAGGGCGATGGCCAGGTCTGCGGTTCTGACTCCCTGTACTGTGACAGACTCTGAAATAGTTTTTACCACTCAGAAAAGCAGTGGTGGAACAATAATAGGTTTATACTAACATCGGATTCAACGGTCAGGAGCAAAGCGAAACCCCCAAATTTCAGGAGTAAAAAAGAGTTAAAGAGCAAAGTAACAACATTATAGCTGTAAGTAAAACAAACACCTATTTATTGAATAAATTCTGCAGTTCTAGTCCCGTGCTGTCCAGGCCCCTCCATTTCAAAGGCTGCAATAGAACTAGAAGAGGTGCAGAGGAAGGCGACCAGGATGATTACTGGTGTGGAATGGCTTCCATACAGGAATGGTGGAATAATTTCGACTCTTAACTTGGGAAAGCAGAGAAATCAGTAGCTTATGACAAAGATATATACAGTCATGAGTGCAGGAGAGTGAATATGGATCTATTGTCTATGGTTTCTCAGAACAGAACAATGAGGAGGACGTAAAATTATCAGAGGTCATTTTTTCAGGGAACACCTAAAAACATCTCCCTTTTTCATGCAGCTGTAATTATTTACGTGGCAAACATGAAATGAAATACAAAGATAACCTCCTTGGGGCAGGAAGTCCTGCAGTCCCACGTGGTCAGGAGGGTTAGTGGGGAAGTACTACCTTGTGCTTGCCCTCTTGCTAGTCCTTTCTGCTAGTAACCACTAGCAGAGGCAGAGAAGTGCTGCATACATTGGTTTCTTCTTAAATTTTTCCTTACTTTTCAATACAGTTGTAATGTGGGTTGATGTCCCAGGCTAGGCAAACGTAACCATTCACTATAACCCATGCCACTGAATAGAAAATGCTTTATTTTTGCTGCATTCCTCTTTCCCAAGGCCCACCAGCGTGACCCCGGTTTAGGGTTAATTGCCAAAGAGCACTGCCATTCCCTGCTGGGACTCCTGGCCGTCCTACCTGACCTCTAGGAAGCACAGAGGACTGCTTCACACAGCTCTGCTGACTCCCCTAGAGTGAGTAGCACCCATCCATTTCAGCACAGCAGGTCTGCAGCAGAAGCCTAGTGTGATGCACATTACTAACGACAGCAAACAGACCAGAAACAACCCTCTGCTGTTTGCCTGGGAGTTTTGGCATGGGCAGGTTTGGTTGGAATGAGCTGCTCTAAGACTTCCCTGTCCTCTAGGTCTTCGTTGACAACTTTGTCCATGCTGACCTGCACCCTGGGAACATCCTGGTTGAAGGCATGGCCCATGTCAGCACCAGCTGCAAGGAGCAGACAGCCATCGTGGACCTGTGCGACACGCTTGTGGTGGAAGTGCGAGCTCCCCTCGGGCGGCTCTGCCTGGTGCTGCTGGATGCAGGGATCGTGGCGGAGCTGCAGGGCGCTGACCTGCAGAACTTCCAGGTGGTTTTCACAGCGGTGGTCCAGGACCAGGTGAGGCCTCTGGCACGGGGCTGGGGAGCTGAGGCTGCGGAAGGGAGATAGCTGCAGAGTCTGATGGTGGAAGCGGTAGTTTTCTCTCTATTTCTGTTTACAATCCTCCCTAGGAGGGGAGAGGAGACTTGCTAGCATGGAAGCCATACTAGACACCGGGATGAGATGTTCAGCCACAGCAAGGAGGCTGCCAGAGTGGAGCGATTTCAGTGCCTGGGAAACAGGAGGTGTTAAATGGGAAGCACTGGCTGCCACTCCTTGGTTAGGAGCACGCTGGGACTGCCTGGGAGCCGCTCGCATTTCAGAGGCTGTTGCATAATCTGCCAGATTTTGTTGGAGAAGAAGAGGGAGTGGATTAACGTCTTGGTCTTGCACACGTTCCCTTCTGCAGCCTTGCTGCTGGGAAGCTCGTATGCCATCCTCCATGTTGCTGTTGTGTCAGCATCTGTAGAGAGGAGGAAGCAAAACAGGTGGGATAGGGAGGTCTGACCTCTATCAGGTTCCTCTGTATAAAGGGAACTACTTTATACTCCTTCCCACTTATTTAAAATACACTCTCAGATGGATTAGAGAATCCAGTGTTGATGTCTCCTGTTCATTCTGAGAACAAGGATCTGTACTCATGCTTGCATGCTGCTGCTTCTCAGCTGTGGGTTGGATGGCTGAACAGCATATCTGGAGAGACATGTTTGAATTTGATCTGTTTAATCTGCTGAAGCATACTGAGGCATCAGTGCTAAACCGTGTATTGAGGCCCATCCTGTGCTGTCAGACTTACTTCTCAGTTACCAAGCAAAAGCTGCAAACGTTTGACTGCAAGTCCTTCATGGCTCCAGATGGGTGTAATTCATGATCTGCAGGTGAAAAACTTGAAAAACTTCTACATTGTCTCATTGCCAGACCTGGGGCCTTTGGCTCTGTTGCTGTCAGACACGACTTCCCAGAAGAGCTCTAAATCCTCTCACAAGCAGAGCCTGGGTATGGATCCCTACCTTTCTCACCAAGCATCTGCTGGTGTAGAATCAGCTCGCTCTTCCTCCGCAGTCTGCAGATGGAAGGTTGGACTTAGCCCATAAAGGAGGTTAATAGATACCCTTCTTCACACCAATATGTCCTCTGTTAAGAAGAAAATGCCAGTCCTGTGGGGTTTATTTTTCCCCCTGAAACTCCTCCTGATGGCCTGAGAGATGTCTTTGTTGTGTTCTACTCTATAAGACCTGCAAGAAAAATAAGCAGGGTTTTGCCAGCTAAGACTTTTGGACCAGTTCTGGTCTTCTGCACTTGCTTCTGTTGATTTGTTTGGTCTCTGTTGCTGGAATGGGAAAGCATGGCCCTGGGAGTTCTCCCTGCAGTATGCCTCCTCCAGGACCTTTGCAGTAGAGGCCTTCCAGGGATGGTGACGTGCAGCTCCCTGTAGGGCTGCTGGCACCAGTGATCAAGCTCTGATTCTCCTTTCCAACTTGTTTCACAGGGGGAGATAGTGGCAGAACTGATCCTTCACCACGCCTGTGCTAACCAGTGCCAGGATATTGAGTGATTCAAAGCTGAGATGGTGGAACTAGTGACCAAGGTTTGGAGGAACACCATTGCCCTAGGAAAGGCAAGTGCACAAACAACACCCCGCCCTCACTTACCTGTAATTCAGTGCAACTTAGCTTTCAGAATGTCTGTGTGGAAAGGCCAGCTCTGATCTCTTCAGCACCACCAACCAGTACTGGGTGCTTCTAGTCTCACAGAATAACAGAATCACAGAATGTTTGGGTTTGGAAGGGACCTCTGTGGGTCATCTAGTCCAACCCCCTGCTGAAGCAGGGTCACCTACAGCAGGCTGCACAGGACCTCGTCCAGGTGGGTCTTGAACCACAGAAGGAGACTCCACAACCTCCCTGGGCAGCCTGGGCCAGTGCTCCGTCACCCTCAGAGTGAAGAAGTTCTTCCTCATGTTGAGCTGGAACTTCCTCTGCTTCAGTTTGTGCCCGTTGCCCCTTGTCCTCAGGTGCAGCAAGTCTTGTCTTTTAGCAGCAGCAAGTCTTGCTTAATAAGAAAATGCTTTCTTATTTCCTGCTCAGTAAAAAAACCTGTGTGTTTGTAGGTGTTACTCATGTGGCTCAGTCTTGACCACAGGGGTTTTTTTTATCAGCTGTTAACTTCTCCTTTTGTATTCCAGCTTCAGGTGGCAAATCTACTCTCCAATGTCTTTAAACTATTGATGACCCATCAGGTAAGGTCCTGCCACTGTCTGCCTTCTAATGCCTGGAAGTTCATTTGGGGAGAGAGCAATACTGGGAATGTGAAGGGCTGACAAGGAGAGGGACTGTGGCTTTGGAAGTGAAGTGCTAGGAGGGGGACTGCAGGAGTGCATCCACGTGTGGCAGGCATACTGTTTCTCAGGCCTTGATAACGCACCCTACCAAGAACAATTTCTGTTTTGTTGGGTTTTGTCTTAGTACTGTATGTAATGGCTGATATTATTTACTGAAAAGAATGTTGCTGTAACAATATCCTATCTTTTTTATAGTTCCTTACAAGCAGAAAATGAGATTTAGTATATGTTCCACTTGCATGTCATTGCTTGCTTTCTTCCTGGGACCTCTTTGTTGATATGTGGTTTATGTAACAGCACTGGGCCATTTTACTGGTTTGTTGGAGGTCTCAAAAACGGGGAGTTGCTCACAGACAGACGTTCCTTCTTACAGTTGATAGTATTTGAGGGACAACTTTCTATGGCTGCAGACAACTTTGGAGCTCAACAGAGCTATGGTGGCCTGAAGTAGAGGCAATGAGAAGGTTGTCAGCCACAGGGCTGCCCAAGCTGCAAAGGATGCCCCTAAACTTTCCTTAGTGAGAGGTTTTTGTCACTGAGCCTCATTAAGCTGGTGTCTGATAACACTAAATGTAATTTTGGCCCTTACAAAGCAAGTCCTCCCAGCTCCATGAAGTCTTAATGCCCTGGTATGCCTTGAAACAATCCTGGTGCCTGGCTGGCAACTGGGGAGTAGTTTGTCTACACGCAGAGCAGAGGTTCATTTCCTCTAATCTCTGGGGGCCTTTTGTGGCTGTTCAGAAAGTGAGCTCCCCCTTACACAAGTGCATGTGTTCAGGTACGTTGGATACTACTGCACTCCTGAGCTCCTGCTATTCCAGCCTAGAAAAAACACCAGAACACATTCCTCTTCCTGGAACTGAAAACCAAACTCTTGCGTTCCCTTAGGGCTCTTCCCCTGAAACTGATGTCTTGTTTTTGGGCCTGCTGCTGGATTTCTTTGTGTTCTGAAACCTCAGGTGCTGGTGTTGCAGTATGAAAAAGGCCCACTGAATTCATTCAGTCACTTGTGGTTCTAGGTGAAGCTCGAAAGCAATTTTGCTTCCATCATCTTTGCCATCATGGTTCTGGAAGGTCTCGGTCGTTCGCTGGACCCTGAAGTGGACATCCTAGAGGCAGCCAAACCACTGCTCATCAAAACTGCAGCTTCTGTCCTTCAATAGACTCACGTGGCTGCCACCCTCTCGCTGTGCGGGGTTCCCTGAGTCCTCTGTGAGCTGACGGAGAAAGAAGCTGAAGGTGAGAAGTCATGTGCACCTTGGGGAACTGCCATGCAGTGGTTGCTCTCCATTAACGTTGCCTTCAGCCATTTCAGCGAAGCACCAGGCATGGGATGGTTAAAATGTCTATGCCAGAAACTGGGCAGACTTTGCACACTTGGAGAGTTCGGACTCGTGACGCAGTTCTGTGAGCTAGTGTGCTCTGACAGGTTTTAAACGCATCATGTAGTTGAGGTGCAAAAGATCACTGCAGCCTGATGAGAAAAGCAGTCTTATGTGTCTAAAAGTCTTTAAAAAGATGTTCATTGATGAATTCTGTTTTTAAATGTATCGGGTTAAATATTTAAAGATAATTTACTGACACGTCTGTCACTGTGGTATGAGAAATAGTGTTCTAACAGCTCCTAAGCAACTAATTCAGGCTGAAAAAAGCCAATGAACCTTTTTATCTTTTGTACTTTTAACTTCTGCTTTTATTGTAGAATTGTCCTGAGATCCTGTGTGGAGTGGTCTGTTTTTATCATCCAGAAAGCCCCAAGAATTTGCATATTAAGGTTTTGAGTTGACCAGGGTGAGACTAAGGGAGCAAGGGGGAGAGTAGCAGGAAGGAAGCACACAGAGGGAAAAAAAAAACACACCACAAACTTTTTTTTATGCTTCAGGAAGAAAACTAAGACCAGTACAAATATTCCCAGAGGGTGTTTTTTATTACAGAATTAGGTGTTCTCCCTAGGCAGGTATTTTCTTTTGCTGTTTTTAATCCAAACTCCTATAGTATTGTGCTAGAGTACAGAAGTTTGGGGAGGAGGAAAAAAGAAATTAAGCTAATTGACTGAATTCAGACCAGTCAATGTGTTGTGCTGAGGTGATCAAGAGGATCGAGAGTTTGAGGGTGATAATCCTGCTGCTTCTCCTATGGGAGGGGGGACAGGGGGATTCAGCCTGGTTTCAGGAAGGACACGGGGAAGAACGGGGGCGGGGTGGGGGTGAGGGTGGCGGAACCAGCTCCCCTCCAAGCCTCTCTCCGAGAAGCTAAGGAATGAGGAAAGAGACTTTTAAATAAATACCGCTAACACTTATTCAGCATTGAACACAAGTAAAGGGAAATATAGTCGTAAATCAGTAGATGTTGTTGGTGTGACAGGGCAAAGAGAAAATAGGCCTTTTTTTTAGAGCCACTGAAATTTAGATTGGGAAAACAGTGGGTAACTCACCAGTTTTTATATATGCCTGAATGCCTTTTGCCTTTATTAGGGCTAGACTTGCTAAGTAAAGTAGAGGCACAAATAACTTTTAAAAATGGGGAAACTGAATTATTGATACCAAAACCAAAAGCCATAGAGGGGAGAGTGTTTATATTACAGGATTCTTTTAAGGAGGAACAAATTCCAGAAGAGGTGGAAGAGGCAGTAATGCCCTTGGTTTGGGCAAATGAAGTTCCGGGATGGCCCAAATTGGCAGAACTGGTGCAAGTGACCTTAGAACCTGGATCCAAATCGGTAAGACAAAAACAGTATCCTATTAAGTGGGAGGCTCGAAAAGGATTGGAGGGGTTAATACCAAATTTTTGGACTAAGGACTTTTGGTAGAATGCGAGTCAGAATATAACACTCCTATATTACCGGTAAGGAAATCTGGAGGAAAAGAATACCGGCTAGTCCAGGATTTAAGAGCTATAAATCAGATAGTTCAAGATATACACCCAGTAGTAGCCAATCCCTAT